AATAACCTACTCTGTAATTTTGATGTTGTTTTCTTTTAGAATCAATTTTTGCATTTGGAAACATTTGCCTCTGTAACATTAGGGAACATTTTCTGATTGTGACTGGATATGTTCTCTTCTGTGAGCTAGCCTGTTCTTTTATCATCACACTTCTGACTGAGAATGGTCATTTGAGAATCTTGAAGCCTAGGTCATTTTGCTTGCAGTTTATATCACAACTTGACCATAAAGGCAAAATTACACTGAATTCAAAGCAACACTCTTAACAAAGCTTTCCTAAGACAAAAGCCAAGTGGTTATAACTTAAAAATAGAGGCTGATTGTTGTAGAAATGATTTAGGTAATTGGAAGCAATTGTCCAACAACTCACCAAAGGCTGGCGAACAAAGACAACATTTTACCTCTACATTTCAAATCATAGGAACAGATTTTTTGTAGAGAGGAGATACTCCAACAGTTATGCTGCACTCGTAGATTTTAAACATAAGTACTAGGTGGCCACAGAGATACAGAGTACTGGACATTCTGGGGTCACTGTAAGGCCAAGATATTGGTGGTCAGAAATGGAGGTAAGTCCAGATAGTCAAAAGTGACCATTTTCCTAAGTTTTAGCAAACAGTACATTAAGACACATTTTCAAATCATAAGTTAATTTTATTAAAGGCTGGTCAGAATCCCACAAGCAACTTTAGATCTAGATGACCAACACTTTGCTGTGCACAACATATAGCGATGATCTTTTTTATATTTGTTAAATTAAAGGGAAAATGTGGGTGACCAAAAATGCTAAATGATTAGTTACAGTAAATGTGAGCCTGGTGCTAATTAACTTTCTGGGTCTTGCTTCCCATCTAATTTTAGATATCTAAGCTGTGTGATAAAAGAAAAACAAAGATTTTCACAGAAAATATAAATCTGAAGGAATTCTTTTTGCTTTGATAAGAAAGTAGCATTTTATTCAGATGTAGAGTGCTAGGGAAACAAATGGGAAAATTCCTCTTTTGGTTTGGAATGACACAGTCACCTCTTAATATGTGTGTGTGTTTTTTTTTTTTTTTTTTTTTTGTGTGTGTTTTTTTTTTTGAGAGTATATTGATGAGAAAATGGCTTCCTCTGTCAAGCCAATGTATGTTTCTGTATTCATCATTTTAATGCCACCTCCAGAACATTTTCCTAATTTCTAATATGCAAACGAGTTAAGAATCTGAAAATCTCATGCTGGACTTTTCTCATTCTCTTATAAAAAGAGGAACAGTAACCCTGGCCCTTTCCTACTACTGAAGATTTTGTAAAAACAGGCACTGTAAAATCTCTAGGTAAACCATAAGAATAATGTAAAACTCTCCCTCATCTCTTAATCAGTTTATATGTTTCTTAAATTCTCTCTGGATTCTGTCCTCTTCCCTGCATCTCCATTTCCTGCATCTAAGCAGGATCCTCTCATCTTCAGAAACTAGTCTTCCTGCCACCAATTTGCCAGCTTTTGGCTCTGTTTACCGCCCTGTGGCTGTAGCCAGAGTAATCCTCCTACAATCCTAAAATGTAGTAGACGCGGTGTCTCCACTGCCCTCTTGTAAACCGCACACCCCAGGACGTAGCTAATGAAGCCTGGTGTGCCCCCACCCCTTCAGCTCTCCTGCTTTACCTTGATCTCTGGTAGCAGGCCCAATTCACATCTTGGGAAGCCCAGGCTTTCTTGGGTTAATTTGCCCAGGATCACACAGTGATCACACAGATCCCGATTCTGGAAGCTGCAGACTCACCCCCTGGTCTCGCCTCAAAGCCCGTGCTCTCAATAGCCATTCATTCTTGGAGGCAAGCCCCTGCGGCCTTAGGGTTGTACAGTTTTCTGTCATTTTGCAGATTCCTTCTTTTGGATGACTGGATACATTTACATTGGCTAGGACTGAATCTACATTGGCTAAGACTGAATCTCCTTTGTACTTGAGCAGATTGAGTAATAGTGGCCTGTCAGGCCCAGGAGAGTTTTGGAAGCAAATTGTGTATGTTTTCCTTCGCATTACAGTTGGAAAATGTAGTCGTGTGGTGTTCACAGTAAATGGAAATTGATGGCTTATTCTCCCCAAAGATAAAGATGTTAAAGAAAACCAAACTCAGGAGGGACCTTATTTCTGTCACTTAACTTTCTGTCCAGCCCTTGTTAAGCCCCAGGAGGGTTTCTTTGTTGCTCTCAGCTGCCAGCCAGTTTGAAATCCATTTGACAGAGCTGATTTGAATTGGTTTTTGGTCCAATCTTCCATAGGACACTAGCGTCCCAATAAACTGCAGAGATTCAAATGCATTTACCTTCATTCATTAATGTGGTTATTTTGTTGAGGAATAAAAGATCAAAGTATTTTAGCAGTGTTTTTCCTCATGAGCTGCTGCTGCGCACGGTCCCTTTATCTCTCAGCTGTTTATCATTATTTTAATCTCAGTGCCTTTCATTACTTTTAAAGGAAAATATCAGGGGCCTGAAAATTGTCTAATGAACAGCAGTGTCATGATACTGTAGTTCTTTAACTCTCTGCAGAGTGGTTTCATTCGGGGAAGGACAGGGACGCTTTAAAAAATTAAATGCCTTTGTTCTTCACATGTACCCCAAAACCTAAAATGCAATAAAATAAATAAATAGAAAAAAAATTTTCTTGGAAAAAAAAAAAAAATTAAATGCCTAAAGCCACAGGGGCCTGCCTCCAAGAATGAATGGTTGTTGAGAGCACGGGCTTTGGGGCTAGACCAGGGATTAGTCTGCAGCTCCCACTATGTGATCCTGGGCAAATATTAACTGGAGAGAGCCTGAGGTTCCCAAGATATGAAATGGGTCCTGTTTATAGGACCTCATGTCTGGGTCCTACAAGAGATATTCTGATTTAATTGTTCTTGGTGCAGCCTGGGCTTTGGGAATATTAAAAGGACTTCGTGGTGGTTCCAGTGTTCAGCAAAGCCTGTCCTGAGAAGCTTTTCATTTGTAGATGGCTCAATCTCCGATGTCTTTCCTCTCCCACCTCCAAGCACTATTAGAAATATTGGATTCGAGTTTGAGAAGGTGTCTCTCCTTATTTTGTCCATCTGCTTATATTAAAAAAAAAAAATAGCCCAAGGAGTAAGGATATTGGCTGTATAAGGAAGTGCATTTATTTTTTTTTTCACTATCCAATGAGATGTTTAGCTTTATTTGACAGGAAAGAAAATGAGGAGGATTTCCATTGTTGGTATGGCCAGGGGCTCGGAGATCAGATTCTCCACTTTTAACAAAGTGATTCAGGCATAGAGGGCATTACAGCTCAACTATTATGTGCTTTGAGTTTGATGTATTAGTACTGTTTTATTAGTATTGTTGTAAGCCTTGAGACCGATCTTTATTTTTAAGCCATTTCTGAATGGACTACTTGGCAGTTGTGTAAGTAGGTGAATCTTGCTGCTTTTGATTTGGAATTTTTGAAATTGCATTAGAAAGAACATGAAATAAGATACATTTAATTTGCCCTTGAAGATAGAATACAAATTTTGAGAACATGTAATTAACATCTAATTGGTACATATTAACATGAGCATTATGGATTTTAGTTACTGAAGTTTAATAGCATTATATGTATTGCAGAGAGAAATTTCATAAGCATTTTCACAGTGACTAAAGGGACTTATTTTTAGAGGTTCTCAGCTTCTGCATCGTTGGAGGCTGCGTGACTAAGGCAACATTTTGCAAAGTGCAGGTAAAGTCAAGCCTGAAATGGGGTAACAACTGCCTAAGAGTTTTAACTTTCTCCTCCTACTGAATTGGGTAGAAAAGTGAGACAAAGATCTTCAAGGAAACTTCCAGTTCCAGAAGGTTTACGTGGCAGCTCTGTGTTTCCTACTCCCAGCCTAACTACAACAATTGCTGTCCACATGTGGTCCCCAGATTGACAGTGTCAGCTTCCCTTGGAAACTGGATTACAGTGTAAATTCTGGGACCCCATCTAGGGACTAAGGAATAAGAATCTCTTGGGAGTGCGACACAGGAATCTGTTTTAACAAGCCCTCCAGGTGATTCTCATGCAGGCTGAAGTTTGAGAACCAGTGCTTTAAAGGAAACTTGTAGTTTCACACTGGGAAGCACTGGGATAGAGCGGTAGTCCTCAGACTCTATGTTGGGGGCCACCTCAGACTCCCCTGGTGATTCCAAAGTGCACCCACATTTGGGGTGGAGGGAAGCTTTGTCAGTAACACCAGGCAACCACACCTTCAGCTCCTCCATGGGATGCTGTCATGGCAGGAGGGGTGAGGAGGTGGGGCATTCATGAATCAGAATACACCCTGAGTGAAAGCATGCATGGTGTCATACACTGTCACACTAGGTACCTGATAATGTATACATTTTCCTTTGGTAGGGGAGGCAAAATGTTACTTCTGCTCTCTTAGGGTTTTTTGGCTGGGCCTGGAAGTAAAGTGACATAAAACAGATTAACAGGAGAAAAGCATACACATTTATTTAATCTAAGTTTTACATGACATGAGAGGTCTCATAAAGAAATAAAGACTCAAGCTGTCAGAATTGAGCACATATATTGAGTCGGATGAAGCATTACATGATGAAAGGCACCAAGGCAGGGGGTGCTGGGATGAGGGTAGCTCACTGTGGAGAAGTGACTGGGAACACGAGGATGAGTTTCACAAGGTCTGTTTGTGTAGATGTCTCTCGGTGGGGGGCGGGGGGGGGGCTTCTGTTACCCACCTCTGGTGACAAGAATATCTTTCTTCTTCCAGGCATAGGGAGGAAACCTCCCACATGGGAGTTTTAACTCCTGCATTTAGGAAAGTCAGAGGGCCCTCCTGCATCTGCTGCTGTTGTTTTTCAAAGTGTCTTTACTTCAGAACAGTGAAATAGAAGAGTGGCATATTTTGGGGTAGCATGTTCTGAACTTCTTCACTTTCAAGTTGAGGTTCACAAAGCATGGACCTCAAACGTCTGAGACCCTTTTAGGGGATCGTGGATGTCAAAACTCCTTGTTACTTACCTTTTCCACTGTGCTGATGTTGGTGTAAAGCCATGGTGGGTAAAACTGGTAATGTCGGCATACATGCAGCCACATCAGACTGCACTAATAGTCATTGTGTTCCTCAAAGCCAGCCAGTGTCACTCACTGTAAAAAAGCAAAGTCGGTTTCAGTTGAGAATTTTCCTAACAAGGCAGGAACATTGACTTTATTGAATTTCAACTAGAGGACACATATTTTCAGTGTTCAGTGTGATGAAATGGGAATCACTTCTTCATTATACTGGTGTACATTGACAGCCTCCAGGAAAAGCACTTATGAGATTGTTTGGTTTGAGCTTACCTAGTTGTTTTTTTCTTTCTTCATGAAACATCATTTTTACTTGAAAGAATAGCTGACAAACTGTGGTTATTCAGACTCAGCTATTTGGCAGACATTTTTTTCCAAGTGAAGGACGTAAGACTGGCACTTAAAAAAAACTGACAATATTTGTTGTTGATAATAAGTTAAAGCTTTCAAGCAAAAACAGGATTTTGGAAAACTTGTATTGCTACTGTAAGCTTGACAGTAACCTAATATTTAAAGACTTTTTTGATGAGACTGGTGATTAATGAATATGATTTGTTGACATTGTATAATGAATTGTTCATATTGTATAATGAAACATGTCAACATTTAGAAGATCTGCATAGGTCATTGATGCTTAAAATCATGCATGGGCAAAAGATTCACTCAAAATGCAAGGTAAACCAATAGATTTTAAGGTAACAGAGTATGAAAACTTTAATACTGAGGTTTCAGAGTCTATATTGCAACTAACATTAAAGTAACTATTACTTGGCAAGTTTTAGTGCAGTAACAAATGATATCCACAACTATTTTGAAAAGCTATCAAAATACTCTTCCCTCTTTCATACATATTTGAGGCTGGATTTTTTTTTCCCTGTACTTCAAGGAAAACAGCATAAAACAGTAGATTGAATACAGAAGCAGGTATGAGAATCCAGCTGTCTTTTATTAAGCAAGGCATTAAAGAGGGAATGTGACACTTTGGGGAGGATACCAAGATGGCCGAATGCAAGGCAGCTCCAGAAACCAGCTCCCAGCGAGAAAGACGCAGAAACTGAGTGGTCTCCACAATTCCAAACAAGGTACAAGGTTCATTTTGTGGGTCTGGTTGGACAGTGGGTATAAATCAAATAGGGCAAGTTGAGGCAAGGCAGGGGCACTGCCCCACCCAGGAGGTGCATGCAACCAACCAGAGGACCAGGTGATCTCCCCCTCTGGGACTTCGGTTCAGATACAGCGCTCCACCCAAGCCCTCTGCAACCCGGCCATCTTGGATCAGGAGATCTTCAGGGGGCTGAAAAGCCTCAGCAAGGTGCCTGAACAGGGCAGAATAGCAACTTCGGCCAGAGCCAGGGCAGAAGCACTGACTGACGTGAAAGCCAGAAAGCCGCTGGACGGATCTACCCTCCCCTCAGAGGGAAGGCGAACTGAAAACAGGGAACAGCCCATACAGCAGGATGGGTCCCCTCCTCTCCCCTTGACAAAGCCCAGCAGACTGAAAAAAACTCTCATGCCAGAGTTTCGCACCTAGAGAGCGACCAGGAACAATCCAGTTTGGCTGGGGGTGGGGCAGCTGCCATTGCAGAAGCAGGCCTAACTTTCCTGAGTAAATAAAAGATGCAGCAGCTCCACTGAACCCGTGGAAGCCCAGCAGCGCCTCTGCAGACAGACAAAGGAAAGGCTGCCTCCCCAAGCAGCTACCTGAGATCAAAACTATATAAATCCAAAGAGATGGGGAAAAAAACAGCACAAGAAGAGTGAAACCATCAAAAACCAGAACACCTCTCCCCCACCACGAGATCACAACTCCTCACCAGGAAGGGAACAAAGCCGGACAGAGAACGAATTTGACAAATTGACAGAAGCAGGCTTCAGAAGGTGGGTAATAACAAAACTTCTCTGAGTTAAAGCAACATGTTCTAACCCAATGCAAAGAAACTAAAAACCTTGAAAAAAGGGTAGACAAAATGCTAACTAGAATAACCAGCTTAGAGAACATAAACGACTGGATGGAGCTGAAAAACACAAGAACTTCGTGAAGCATACACAAGTTTCAATAGCCAAATAGATCAAAGGATATCAGAGATTGAAGAAGGCAAGAAAAGAGAACAAAGAGTAAAAAGAAATGAACAAAGCCTTCAAGAAATACAGGATTATGTGAAAAGA